AGATTCCAAATATGAGAGTTTTTTACAAGGTTGAAGGAATTGAAGAACAATTGTCATATCCGACCTTGAAGACCAAAAGAACATCCGATTGTGCTTTCTTGTTGTGAGATGGTGTGATCTCTTTGATATCAAATAAACAACCTATGGTTAGTTTATCTACAATTAAAACAAAGTTTATAGCAACTGCATTATGGACATGCTAGTGTGTTTGGTTAAGAAGAACATTGAAACATCTAAATCATCGTCAAAATAAAGTTACAACAATACTGTGTGATAATGTTTCTACAAACAAATTATCCAAAAATTCAATCAAGGAGCAAACATATTAATGTTAGATTTCATTTTTCAATAAATTTATATAATGATGTTATTGAATTAAATTATTACAGTACCAAACATTGGTTAGCAAACATTATGAAAAAACCACCTAAAGTCGAAGAATTTCAACACTTATGAAATTCACTAGGCATGATTAAAACATTGGTTAGCAAACATTATGAAAAAACCACCTAAAGTCGAAGAATTTCAACACTTACGAAATTCACTGAACATGATTAAAAACTTTGAGATAAACTGTTGTAAGAGCATATAGTTTAAGAGAAAATTAATTAAAAAAGTTAAAATATTTTAAAAAATAATTTGTTTTCGATTTAGATTTCATATTACTTTATTACCTGTAAATAAGTTTTGGTGGATAGGTGTGGTTACTAATTTTTAGCATAGCAGTTGTAAAGTTAAGTTTATAAACTTGATCATTTTTTCTTTCTGAATCATCATCATTGCACGTTTATATCTTATTACAAAACCGTTTCTTACATTCTTATATCTTATCTGCTAAACATGAGTCTTTTGTTTAATAAAAAAAAAAACTATTTTTTTACCATGGGAACATCAACAATCCAAAAAAATTAATAAATCAATAAATAGTGGTATTATTATTATTATATTAAAAAATATTATTAATTAGTTGCATGCGTTAAGTCCGGTTCTCAAACAAATATTCTTCCAAACAAAAATTATAAATAAAGAATTGATTTTTTGCGTTGGATAAAAGAGGAAAAATAATGAAAAATACCTGATATTTTTTCATATATTATTTATTTATTTATTTATTTTTATTTGTAAGAAAACATTTCACCATTTTGAAAATAAATTATTTTTGTTTTACATTTATTTATATTCAAACCAATGGCAATGAATATTTAGTATTTATTTTTACATTAATTAATTAATTATATTTTCTTTTATGTAAAATTTTCACTATTTTGAAAATAATTTATTTTTGTTTTTCATTTATTTATATTCAACCCAATGACAATGAATATTTAATATTTATTTTTATGTTTACTTATTTATTTATTTATATTTGTTTATTTTTATGAAAACATTTTACTATTTTGAAAATAAATTATTTTTGTTTTTCATTTTTTATATTCAAACCAATGGCAATGAATATTTAATATTTATTTTTACGTTTTTATTTTTATTTATTTATTTATTTTCTTTGGATCCAAAACCAACGTTTTTCATTATATATATATATATATATATATTAATAATTACTATTTCATATATGCACAATTTTTTATTAAATACGAAAGCAGAATATTAATTCTTTTTAAATTGCAACGGCAGTACAAATAAATCTTAACAATTTTTTTTAATATGTCTTTTTAAATATAGTTACGATGTTTATATTGATATTGTGTTACTTATAGGATGAATAATTAATACTGACTAGATATAACTTATATTTTAATATGGATTAGAATTTTTAATTTAGTATATCTTTATATTAGGTAAATAAATTAACGGATTAATTTTAATCTAATTAAAAATTAAGAAAAAATTTAAGTATTTATGCTAAAACAATAAATTAAAAATATTTAAATAAAATAATTTAAATATATTTTAAAAATTATATTATATTAATAAAATTAATTTTTATTTATAATATAATAATTTAATATATAAATTATGAGATAGTATATTTATTTAACAAGTTAAAAATTTATTATTTATTATATTATCATTATTTATATTTTATTAAGTTATTATTTTAAAATAATAAATAATCTTAATTCTTAAATTTTAAAATAAGTAATTGTTAAAAATTTATTTTTATAATAGATAAATATCTTATTAAATTAATTTATAATATATTTTTTTAATAAAATATGTCATTTTTTAATTTTAAAAATATTTATTATTCTAAACAAATATCAATCCATAAATCTATAAATTAACATAATTTAAATCTATATATATTATTATATAAATAAATTGGATGAAAATATTTGACCGGTACGTGTTTTAAATCTCTTAAAAGTACATTAGGAAGAGTAAGCTAAATTTAATCAGTGTCATTATGGTAATGATTTACTTGGATGAATGTGCAATGATAGTTGTTCTAAATTTTATTTGTTATGAGTGAAAACAGTTCATTAAAATAAATTTGTATATTTAACATTAATTCATATGATTGATTAAAATAATTAAAATATGGTCATAATAATATTAAATAATTAAATTTATTTTCTGTTTTGATGTAATTGATTGTGTCGTTGTGAAATTAGAACGTTAAAATTTCGAGCTTAAAAAAGGGTGTTTCATTTCTATAATGGGCTGAAAAAGTGTAAGCCTTGTCCATGAGAGTTGGTCTACTTGGGCCCAAAATTCAAGTTAACTAAAAAAATAAAACAAGACATGGTGAATTATTTAGGGTTAGTTTATTTTTATTTCTTAAACAATTTTCAGTTTTTTAATTTTTAAAAATTTTAAAACTTGTTTGATTATTTTTTTTAGTTCTAAAAACTAAATAATAAAAATTGATAAAATGTATTTTTTATTATAATTTTTTATTTTTATTAATGTCTGTGAATATATTATCTAATAACTATATTAAATCAATTTTTTCATTCTTATAAAATTATATCAAAATTATTTTTAAATTTACGATTTTTTATGGTCATTTATACTATATTTTGTCATTTTTAAAAATATTATCAAACAAGTTTATTTTTAATTTGTGTTTCAATAACAGTGTTTGTAAATATGATCTTTAAAAATATTTTTAAAAAACTAAAAAAATTGAATCAAACAAGTTATTAATTTCTTAAATGTGGAAAAAAATTAACTGTTTAGTTAAGTAAAATAAATATGAATATGGGATTAGATTCAATTATTTAAACGAGTAAAATTAAAAAGCTACCGGTTTAGTATCAATTTATTAACAACTCGTGAATAAATCGTCTTTATTGTAGCTAATAAAAAATATTCGTTTTTTTAGTACTTAAGCAATGGTCATTATTTTATTATTGTCGAGATGTAAGTATGTAATGTTTGATTTTTTATAAATATTCTGTTAATTAATCATATCTCTTATTTAAATATTAAAAACAAATATAAAACAAATTTAAATAAAGGTTGAGTTCGTTTGATTCTTTTTTAAATAAGACAATTTCAGAATATATATATATATATATATATATATATATATATATATATATATATATATATATATCACACACACAAGTTACACAACTTTAATCCCTGATAATTAGAATAAAATTTGAAATGTTTGTGAGATTACAATGATTAAACCAACTTTAATCACAAAAACGAGTATGATTTTGAAAAACAAATAATAATTCCAGACAGTATAAATGATTATTTCAATGATAAATGTCAGGTAAAAAATCACAGTATTTAATTAATTATTGAATTATTTCATAAATTTGAACTAAATTCTTTAACTATTTTCTTAAACAAAGTCTTGAAGTAAATTTGTTTAGTAGGATTTTGTAATTATCAATAAAAAATAACTATTCAAAGTAATTTTGTAAATATATTGTTGATAAAAAATATTAAATAAGAGATATGATGAAATTTGATATTATCAGAGATAAGATAATATGATGAAATTTGAAATTTGATAATATTGTTAATATTATCTCACTAATTCAAATAGTTATTATAAAATAATTTTTTTAAAAATTAATGAAAACTTATAATTTTTGCTAATATAATATTTTTTACATGTATTTGTTTTATTTTTTTATTGCTAACCTGCAAGATGTTTTGGTAAAACCAATAATATACTTGAAATACATAAATGAAAAATATTGTTTTAATATAGAGATAATTCATATTATAACTAATTTTAAAGAAATTAGCAGAATTTTGATAAAATGACCAGCAATATATATTTTTTTCATAATTGACTTATTTGAAAATAGTGAAAATATGGTCGAATTTAAATTTTTCTTTAAATGTTAGAGAGAAATTCTAAATTTTCGAAACCATAATTACCACTACAAATAAAAGGAAAACGATTTATTAGACAAAATCTTAAAAACATTTGATTTCACATTTTTTCTCTTCACGTGATATATAACTTATATAAAAACATTACTCATGGAAGTTCATTAGAATATTTTTTTTAAAATATTATTTTTAAAATTACATTTTAAATAAAATTCATTTTAGAAGCTCATGTTTATAAGATTCTCATTAAAGTATTATTTTTTACTAATAAAATTCTTATAAAAGATGAGTGATTCAAATCTCCTAAAAATAACTTTCTTAATTTAAAATCTTCAAAATAATTTTCGCATCGGAGGCAGATAATTTCCTTTTGGAGAATGCACATCCAACACAAATATATAATTACTAGTTGATGAATAATTTAAAACCCCTCATCAAAGCGGCGCGTCAAATCACTCCCCCAAGAGCGCGTGACACTCCCCACTCAACTACTGGCAACGTAAACCAGCATTTTTTTGGGTATATATATCATATCATATCCTTATAATTATTTCAGAAAAAAAGTGTTTAATTTTTTTTTCACACTTGTTAAGCCTTCGTCTCACACTCTCTGTAGCTTGTTCTTTTCTTCTCCAAGACGTCGTCGTTAGGGTCTTCGGATCGGTGAAACCTGACCGTGCCGGCGTGAATTCCGACGCTGTTCGTGGCGCTGAATTGAGGTAGCGGTGACGAAGATGAAGGTTTTCGTGAAGACTCTCAAAGGCACTCACTTCGAAATCGAAGTGAAGCCGAAAGACACGGTTTGTTCCTCTAAACTTCTTTCGATTGGGTTTGTTCTGACTTTCTCTATTCTTTTGTGGCGAGTTGCTTTCCTTTTTGAATTGTCTCACAAGTTCCCCCTCATTTTAGAGCCCTGGAATTGAGTGTTAATTAGGGTTTGGTGTTTCGCTCGTTTGAATTGTTATTGAATTTTGATGGCAATTGGATTTTCTTTATTTGTTAAATGTTAAATTTATATTTTCGAAGAGATGGCTGATTTGGTTGTCGAATAGGCCGCGGAACGAATGAATTGTGTTATTCTTGGGGGAACATTATCTGGCTAGATATTTTATTTTTTCGTTTAAATAACTTTTGTCTTCTGCTTCATTGCTTGTGGGAACTAGTGACGAAATGTTTGTTGATGCTCCTCTGGATTCTAATTATTAATGGGAAATCTGTTTTCGGAAGTTTGGGATTCTAGGAATACGATAATGAATAAGTTCCGCATTACACGGTTTGGAGCATTACTTCATAGTAATATCAAACCAGTTTGATATATATGAAGAAAAATGTGTAAGATGCATTTTTGTCTTATCATTTTCTAACGATTGAACCTCAATTCTGTACATGACGCAAATTGAGAGTTATATTTCAACAATGTATCAAAGCTTCACCTTTTAATTTTTGTGTTTTTTTATTCACTTCCACTATCTTCTGGTTTTCCTGAACTAGAATAATTAATCTGTTGCATTATTTGTAATTGCCAACATTCTATCCAGGTTTCTGACGTGAAGAGAAGTATAGAAACTGTTCAGGGTGCAGATGTCTATCCTGCTGCACAGCAAATGCTAATTCACCAAGGAAAAGTTCTGAAGGATGCTACTACCTTGGAGGAGAATAATGTAGCTGAAAATAGTTTCATTGTAATCATGCTATCAAAGGTAACTTTTTCTTTAGTTTATTTCTTTGTTTTAAATCTATTGGTTTTTCAACTTATCAAAATGTACTCCATTATTATGTTGCATATTTAGTTATTCAAATGTTATGAATGAATTATGTTTCGTAATTATATTAATTTTTTGCACTAACTTTGAATTTTGTGCTTAAAATATGCTAGAATAAGAGCACATCTGGTGAAGGATCCACTACTTCAACTGCACCATCAGCTAAGGTGTGAATAGATTGCTATGTTATAAATTTTTGTGATGTTAATATCATTTTGGGTTTTCCTTATATGTGACATGGTAAAACAAAAGCATAATCCATCTGATGCATTTTTGCAGGCACCCCAGACTAGTGCTCCTCCTACTTCAACCCCGCCAGTGTTAGCAGCAACTCAAGTTCCAGCTGCAACTGATGCACCGTGAGTGACTGATCTAAAGGGATCTTTTTCTTAATTATTTTGATAAATTTAATTTAAACTATTTTAACATGTATAGTATATTTGAATGCTTCCTTCCAAATTCGTAGGCCTGCAACTGTTGCTGCACCTGTATCTTCTCCTTCTCCAGCTCCAGCTCCAGCTCCAGCTCCTGCTTCAATTCCTGCAGGGACTGCTGTGTAAGTATTTTGTTTCCTATAATGTATGGAATGTGGTGCTTAAAGTTCCTGTTATTTTTATATCTTGATATACAGAACTCTTCAACTTGCTTGATTCTTCGTTTAAAAGAAAATCTTTTTGGAAGCAGGGAGGAGTCTGATATCTATGGGCAGGCTGCATCCAATCTGGTTGCTGGAAGCAACTTGGAGGGAACAATTCAGCAAATTGTTGATATGGGTGGAGGGAGCTGGGACAGGGATACTGTTGTCCGCGCTCTTCGAGCTGCCTATAACAACCCTGAGAGAGCTGTTGAATATTTGTATACAGTATGTGAAATTTGGATGTTAAATTCTGTGCTTAATGACTTCTATCAGCCATATATTTAGTTGCACATTTTTTACATAAGTTAAGCATTGTAGTTATTTAAGTGGAAGGTGTTTTTCTTTTTGTACGTGATATTTCCTTGCTTGATTTCCTTTCTTTAATTCAAATATTATTCATCAATGTTAGGGTATCCCTGAGCAAGCCGAGGCTCCACTTGTAGCTCGAACACCTGCAGGTGCTCAACCAGCAAATCCTCCTGCTGCTGCTGCTCCACAAACAGCACAACCTGCTCCAGTTACCTCAACTGGACCTAATGCTAATCCTTTAGACCTTTTTCCCCAGGTAGGTATTTCATTTTTTTTATTGAAAGAGAAAATTAAACCTTTTGGATCGTATACTGAACTTTGTGTAACAGGGCCTTCCCAATATGGGTTCTGGTGCTGCTGGTGCTGGCTCATTGGATTTTCTACGGAACAGTCAACAAGTATTCATTATCTCTCCTCTTTTACCAATGAATTTCTTGTTTCATTGATATGTTTTAAATAGATATTTCAATTATGTTTAATTGCATTTCAGTTCCAAGCCCTGCGAGCTATGGTGCAGGCCAATCCACAAATATTGCAGGTTTTTGTCTTTGCCTTTATAGTGTATCACTGTATCCGATAATCTCTTCATGGTTCCTGATTGTTGTTCTTGCTGCAGCCTATGCTACAAGAGCTTGGCAAACAAAATCCTCATCTTATGAGATTGATTCGAGATCATCAAGCTGATTTCCTTCGTCTAATAAATGAACCTGTGGAAGGTGGTGAAGGGTGAGGCATCATCTTGTGCGTTTTTTTTTTCCAATTTTTTTGTATGGATGGGCGGGAAAGTCTTGTTATCTTTATTGCCTATCATCCTTGTCCACTGACTTATTTTTTGCATTTAATATGCTTCAGGAATATATTGGGGCAGCTGGCTGGTGGCATGCCACAAGCGGTGACTGTCACCCCTGAGGAGCGCCAAGCAATTGAGCGTGTAAGTTTTTTGTTCTTGGCTATGCAAACCACTAAATGATGGATGGTTTCTTCTGCAACCTTTTGAGGACTAGGAGAACATCAATTTCATTTAAAAGTTAAAACTACTTGCATCTGCCTGGTGCCTTTGTTCTATTTATCATGGTTCCTCGTTAGGATGTGATGTATATATTGACATCGTTAGCATTATACATTAGTTAAGCATGCTTTTGAAGCATAGTTAGTTCAAATTTGGCCTTCTTCCCGCAGAACATTAGGGTTATTGTTTTAAAAAGGAATATATGACTTTCTCTGAGTAATTTTTAACAGTGGGTGTGCAAAAAGCCAGATTTAACTGGACTGTTTCAAGACTAAACTGAACGGGAAACAACTGGTTTTTGAAACAAATTCAGTTCGAACTGAATTATTTTCTTTAAAACTAATTCAGTTCATTTCAAACCTCCTTTTTTCTTTAAAAACTAAAGCAAGTTCATATTTTAGACAACAGAGTCTGTCATATTTTCATATTCTTGTCTCAACATTTCTTCTAGTAATTACAGTATTTTGATGTTAAAAATTGTTCTAGATGAATTCATTCATTTAGACTGAAATCCTTTCCTTTAATTTTGTTTGGAAAAAGTAGTTGAGGCGAGGAGTACCAATAGAGAATATATAAAATATGCATGTGATGGATGCTGCATAGTGCTTATTTATCCCTTCAATGATGAAATAGCCCCCAAAGTGTTTTGGTTTCGAAACAATTATCTAAAACAATTCATATTTTTGGCTTTAGAGCCAACCTTTTTAAAGTGGTTCGGTTTTTTAAGAATTCCGAGTTTTGCACACCCCTAGTTTCCGAGGAAGCCAAGGGAACATGATAATTAGCTCTTTTGTAGTCTGTATTTGTAATAATATCTGAGTTGTGTTGTGATGTTTGTTTTCAGCTTGAAGCAATGGGTTTTGATCGTGCAATCGTCTTGGAGGTCTTCTTCGCTTGTAACAAAAATGAGGAATTGGCTGCCAACTACCTTTTAGATCACATGCACGAGTTCGATGAACAATAGAAATCTCGTTTCCAATTTGCCAAATTATTTCTTTTCAACTTTTTCTCTCGTCGATGGGTCTTTGGTTACACTCGATGTTTAATGAGTTAATGTTTGATGATGACAAATTTCAAGTGGATAAGGGATGTATGTTTTAGTCTCCTCCTTATTATTGCCCTTGTATTTATCATTTCCTTCCCATCGAGGGTTTCTTACTAATCATATACATAGTTGTTTGCCTTGTTTTATTGGTTTTTCGTGCTTCCTTGTTAGTTTTAGCATTTGTGATTCTCTGTGTTTTCTAGATGGCAAACTCTCTTGTACGTCGTGCTGGGAATTTACTAAAAATGAAGTTAACCGTTTCCCCCCTCGTTTTACTCTATTTTATTGTTAAAATGTATCATTGTAATTTTGGTGAATGAGTAAGAGAGAGGACGAAAAAACAAACAAGGATAACTCTCGTAAAAGTAATTTAAATTGTTTTTACATTTAAAATATGATTTAATTTGAAAGCCAGACTTCGGCTTTTCTATTTCAGCTTATCGGATAAAATTGTCAAATTGTCAATATAGGTAAACTGATTTGGTTTAAGAAAACACAAATGATAATTCAGTTTGATATATATTTTAAAATAAATTAAAATTATTAGTTTAATCTGGCGTAATATTAAGTTAATAGGTTATTTTTTACTTGATTAAAATAAAAAATACTACCATATTTATACTAAATTAATTAAAAAAATATTTAAATCAAGTAATTGTATCAATAAATACTACCATTTTTTAAATTTTAATTGTATCAATAAAATTAATTTTATAAAAATATAATAATTTAGTATATAAATTATAAGAGAATATATTAATTTAATCTTAAAAAAAAATTAAAAATTTATTTATTATTTTTATTTTTTAATAATTTAATAATTAATTTGAATAAATAATTTAATAATTTAATTAATTTAATAATTAATTTATAAAATAAAATAAATTATTATTATAAATTCTTTTTAATATTTATTTTTAAAATAATTAAATATCTTATTAAATTAATTTATAATCTATATTTTTTTTTATAAAAATAACATTTTATTTTTATTTTAAAAAAATTATTATTTTATAAAATGAAACTATATAAATCTATGAATTAATCAAACCTAAATTTATATAAAATATGATTTAAACATATTTAATTCAATTTAAATTACAAATATTGTTCAAATGACCTATTTCTCTAATTGGCTTATCTAAATAAGCCTATTTTAATACCTTTCACATGACATAACAGCCAAACTGTTTCTCAATTTCTGCTTAATGGGGCATAGTTATTAATATTTTACGTCTTTCTACGGTGCATTAATATACGTGCTACTACCTACACATTAAAGAAAACACTCACTCTATGGATGAGTTTGATTCGAGTACTTTTAGTTCAATAGGGTTTTATTCATGTTTACTGAAATATAGAGAATTTTTACTTAGGACAGCAAAACGCAGCCAGCTTTCCTTCCCATGCGTAAAAAAATAAGATTGATTAGTCACCACATAAGTGACACACTAATGGTCAGTGAATAGTTTATAAATATTTTTTACATATTTAAAAAAAATATTTTTAATTATATTAATATTATTTAATTATTTATTATATATTTACAATTTATATTAAATTATTTAATGATATTTTACAAAATCATACTTTATTCTCTTTTTTTTATATAAAGACTTCATAAGTCCTTATGTCGGGCACAAGTTCTTACCTAAAAGTTTTCTTCTTCTCTTTCTCTTTACCTCTCTCTTAATGTAAATTTCTCTCCATAATAAAAGAAGTATTTCATACCTCTCCTTTTCCTCTTCCCCCTCTAAATAAGTTCTCTTTACTTTTTTTATAGAGTAATTTTCTTTTAAGAGCGTTATCAGATGTCTTAAGTAGTTTTTATTAAAAGATGCAATAATTATTTAAAGACTTGAAATTTTGTATAACTTTTATGTTAGAAGATGTCTAACAAAGTCTGCATCCTTTTTTTAGGCAAAGACTACAAAACAACTCTTGCAGATGTAGAACAAATCACAAAATCCCCTCCAGTAGGATACAAAAAGCCTATTTCAGAAGTAGACAATACACACCGTCCTTCTTGGACAAAATAACACAATAATTGCATTTCTAGAAAAAGATTCTAGAAAGTTAACATGTTTAATTGATTTAAACAAAAATACAAATAAATCAAATGAGATAGATGATCTTATTAACCAAGTTTCTAAATCATCTTTAGGAACCAACACATACACTAAAATAATTTCTAAAAATACACAGAAATTTGTTAAAGTGACAAAATAACACAATAATTACGTTTCTAGAAAGTTAACATGTTTAATTGATTTAAACAAAAATACAAATAAATCAAATGAGATAGATGATCTTATTAACCAAGTTTCTAAATTATCTTTAGGAACCAACACATACACTAAAACAATTTCTAAAAATACACATAAATTTGTTAAAGTGACTATAAATGGTCTTAAAAACTAGACCAATAAAGAAGAAGTTTCTTCTTCCATAAACAATATTAGGAGTTAAATATGTTTACACGACCTAATAAGTCAACACAACACAACTAGAAACTATTGATATGAATAATACAATGGATTCTAACCAAACACAAAGATTTCTCGGAATCCCCAGAAGATTAAGGGAACATCAAACTAGGAGTCAAAACCTAATACAACATCCAGAAATTTTAGATAGATTCCTAAACAAATAAAGAACTACTAATGTCAGACGACTAGAAGACTTAATAGATATACAACAAAATACTGAGATAGGATCAAATTCAAGGATAGATTCCTTAAATCCTAGATAGTTATACAATATTGGTTGGTTAAGTTCTGAAAGGACTAACCTTTACGATATAGAAGAATAGAAGATTTTCATCTTCCAGACAACATATACGAGATAATTCATTTAATATCTCAACAAACTAGTAGTCAACTACTAAACCAGCAAGGAAGATATATCCATATGAGATTGATCACCATTGGAGTTAGATCCTTAGCTAGGCGTATGATCGGAGTTAGAACTTTGATAGTTATGCATGATTCCAGATTTCAAAATAATGATTCACAAGGTGTGATAGGTATTTTAGAGGTGGATTTAAATTAACCTTTTCCATTGATATACCTTGCACCAAATTTTACAATGACACTTCCAGATTTTATTAACCATATAAGTCTAGAAGTACAAATAATAGGTTTTGGTTCCAATTGGATGGGCGAAAATCTACACTTAGACATTACCTTCATAGAAAGAATTAGTAACCATATTTCTTCCATGTATAGGATAAACACAAGACCATTAGATGAAACTATTAGCTCTTATGGTACATAATTTTTGCCAGCCCAATCCTTCACAAGAAGAAATGAAGGACACTTATGGCAAACACACTTGCCAAGGGAAGAAAATAATCCTATTACTATCCCTTCATCTGCTATTTTGCATAACAGAACTAGATGGCTTAATCTAAGTTGCATAAACTATAGAAATATACCACGACTAGACCTAGAACAAGATAGACCAGTGGAAAACAGGCATAAGACTTCTGCTATTCCTGATAACGAAAATATTTTTATGATGAATATCGTAGAATATGATGAAGATGAAGATGATGACATGACTGATGATGAATGAAATCATCATCAGGCTATTATAGCCATGTACAGACAAGAAACTTTAGATTCCACTACAAATTCTTTGTCCCAAACAAATAAAATTGTCCAAATTAATGAAAAGGATGACATCATTGATGAAATGGATGATATCATAGATACATTTTTAGATAATTTGTGTATAGATGAAAAAGACGATGATACATTGGATGATGTCTTCGTAGTCTCAGAACATTTATCTACATTAGGGTTAGTAAACACAAATGTTGGATCAAGTGATTTTCAACCCCATAGCTATCAGCTAGAACCTGATGGTGTACAAAGTTATTCAATTGGCTTTTTGCCCAGAGAATCACCACAAAATGTTGTTTTTAGTAACAACCAGTACACAACACAAGGCAAAAGGCTCCCAATTGAGCCAAATTTCCACATGCCTAATCTTTTTTTAAACATAGGAGGAATATGTTAGACAAATGACATCTAGAGGGGGGGAGGTGAATATATGCACAAATTAAAATAGATGTCAAATTAAAATTTTATTTGTGAGTCAATAATTTGTTTGAACACAGATAAAACGGAAACGATAATATAATCAAGAAAAGAGAAAGAGATAAGGGAAAGAGAAGAGCACACAAAGATTTATACTGGTTCGGGTATAGCCAACCTTACATCCAGTTCCCAGTCAACTCTTAACACAAGAGTGACTCCCCATTCACTATCTTTCAAATTCAGTTTACAAATTACAATCAACTCAGCAGAGGAACCAATAAAAAGTAAACTAATTAAAAAGACAATCACCTCCTTAGAAACCCACTAAGGATGAACACCTCCCTAGAATCCCACTAGGGATGAACACCTCCTCTGAACAAATCAAAGGATGAAAAACACCTCCCTAGAATCCCACTAAGGATGAACACCTCCCTAGAATCACACTAGGGATGAAAATCTCTTTTGAACAAATCAAAGGATGAAAACACCTCCTTTGCCACCAATACACAAAGGATGAAGGTAATAAAAATAAGAATAGACACACCTGGGTAATGGAGACAACAAATTGTAGAAGCCTGTAGAATGTCAATCTCCAAGAACAAGTGTGATTAACAATGAAAGCACAAAAGGCAGTAGAGAAGAGGGTTTTCTCAAAAGGTGTAAAAAATCTTTGTTGCCTTGCTCAAAATTCTTTTCTCAAAACTGATTGAATGTAAATTGTATTTTCGAATTTTGTAATTGTGTGTTTTTTATTTTTCATCAAAACTTAATTAAATAGAAAAATAACATCAGAAAATGGTCGTTGGACATTAGTAATATCATAGAGAAAATCAGGATGTATTAAACATTTATTCTTTAAAACGGATATATTTTTCA